AGGGCTTTTGAGGGGGACACGGAGAAAGAAGGGACACCCCGCACGGGAACACTCTGGCAGTGCTGTGGTGTGGTGTTTTTAAGCCCCAGTTTTCCTTCCTTCCCACTAACCTCTGCCCAGGCAGCACGGGAGTCTCTTACAGTGCAAGGCATGATACAAACTCAGGTCAGAAACAAAAGGTTAAATATTTAGTACATTCTTGTTCAGTGTTTATATTCATTGTTGTACAAGGGTCCTACCCCTCGTCCCCTCCCCGCTTGTTTTGGTTGTGGCACACCCCCCCACCCGCCCATCCCCACACAGACACACACACACATGCATTCTTTTTAAATTATTTGTTGGGTACAACAGCAGACAACCAGGCTTTTGGGTCACTGATCTGTAAAAAGACTATTTAGCCCTCCCACCCTGTGAACAAGAGCTATGCCAGGTGCAGCTGGCGATGATGCCAGGCATTCCTAGGGTGGCCACTGAACACCTGGCTCCAGCCAACCCCAGCTCTTCTCCTTCCTGATGGGAAAGCTCTCATGGAGGGGAACCCTCCTGGGAGGGCACCTGGGCCGCACTTCACACCCCTGGTGAGGAAAACAAGCACCAACCAAACGAAGCCACCACCCCATTTCTGTGGAGCTGGGTGGAAAGCACAGAGCTGGGGCCAGCGGCTTGGCTGGCAAACGGTGAAGTGTTGGCAGCTATGGAAACCTGTACAAGTCCAAGCTTGTGGCTTAAATCATAGACCAAACCTCAGAACAAAAGAAAACGAGTGAGCTTGTTTGCTCAGTTGCAGAAGCCTTGGTGAGAGGGGAAGGAGGGGCCGTCAGGAAGTCGACAACCAAGGAGTTGCACCAGTTGCTCATCTTACCTTAGTTCCAGCGTCTGGGCCTTTGTTTAGCACTGATCCAACCAAACGATGGCAGGAAGAGGTGGTTCTGGGATGGAAACGTTCAAATCTTTGAGTAAGAACAACGAATTAAAATATACTGATTGCTAGTTTTGACTGGAGATTTTAAAAAGTTTGTAGTGCTTTTTGCTTGTGTAGTTTAGGTCCCATTATCTTCTCTTGCCTCTGTCCCGTAGTTATTTTTCCCTTTTAAAAATGAAAAAGACAAAAAAGTTAATTAAGAAGGTATTCTATGTAGGATTTTTTATTTATTTTTGTGATATCAGTTTAAATCACTGTAGAGATGCCCCATAATAAATTTAAATACTAAGATAAGGGTTTTAGAGTATGACAGGGGGACAGTTTTTGATTTTTTTTTTTCAAACATTTATCTACCTCACTCTTATTTTTTTATATGTGTGTATATAAAAAGAATACATCTCACATTTCTCAGCAGCCAATAAATGCCGTTGATACTGGTAACCTCTCACTCCATATACCACATGCTCTAGGTTCTGGAGGGGAACAATCACTGCCTGCCACAAAGGGTCACTTCAGAATATTTGCCGCAATTCCAAGGGGTTTCTCCAATTTTTTGCATCAGATTCGTTATTTGAGGAGAAATCCAAGAGTTGTCTGACTTAGGGTGACCATTCTTTAAGGAAACACAGAGGCTTTTTAATGTGCTGTCACAGCAGTCCGTGGGTCAGCAGCAAAACGCTGCGTGTTTAGAGGAGTGGAAATGTAGGTGACCTGATACGGGGACTTCAAATTGTGAGTATTTGCTGAAATCTGTTACAGAAATCAACTGTTTACAATGTTTGGAAGTCCAGAAGAACTACTAAAGGGAATGGTCTTTCTGTTTGTCCTGTAGAATGGGCTAAGTCATTCCTGCCAGTTCTTGCTCAGATGTCACAAGCACCAAAAAGACATTTGGCTGAATCAGAACCCAAAAATAAATTGGCTCATACAGCGATAGCATCGCTTTCTTGACCAAAAAACCTGTCACAGGCTGCCTGTTGATCCTGCTAGATTGAGTTTACAGCTTTGGGTCTTTGCTGCTTCTGTTTGATGAGAGCACTGATTTTTTTTTTTTTTTTTAATTTTTTTCCCCCAAACTAATATTGATTTCTTTTAACACGCCAGTAAAAAGTCAGTTCCCTTTTCTTCCCCTGTTTATATGCCTTATAACTGTGGATTCTGATGGACCAGCCATCAAATTTTAACTGCCCTCTGACAGCGTGTAACTGGTTTACAAGCACACAGGACTAACACGAGCTTGCCATCATTTTGATGTATAATGTTTCCCTTTTTCCAGCTCTGGCAGCTGTTCCTGCAGGTGTTGGTTGTGGTATCTGAGTAATGTGGTGCCTGGAGTTGTACACGGCCTCTTGGATACACAGTGCTGTGGTTAATTCTGAGAGTTTGTCTTTGGAGGGAGCATTTCTCCCTAGTCCTGAGAAACCAGCAAAATTGGAAGTTTTCACTAGATGGGTTTGGTTTTCCATGTTTGATTATGTTCCAGTGACCTTTGGGTGCAGTGGTTGTTCCCCTCCCTTGCACATATTGATTACCACAACTGGAGATCCTCAGATCTTTCAGCTGGCTGGGAGGGTTTTGTTAAAACTGTCCGAGTTACTGGTTTGTAGAATTGTATGTAGGTGGTTTTACAATGCATTAGGAAGAAACACTAATGGCGTAGCATCACGAGAAACATTTCAAAAAGCACTTCAGTAGAAGACAGTCACAGGGCCTCACATACATGTGTGTGATGGCAGTCAGCTCTCCTGGACCAAACCACCTTCATGATACCATTGCGTTCTGTGTTTGCAGTTCAAGCTTAATTCCTTTTTCGTTCTGTTTGTTTCCATAGTTTATTTTTGTTGTGTTTTGTGCATTTTGAATAGCTTTATTCACATGGGTTTTTCATGCAGACTTCCCTTGGACAGTAAATCGAGTTGTTTGTGCATGTGAACAACTGAGAATTAATGTTGGCTTGATAGAGTCATAATATGGTTTGTAATGTTGTTCTTCCCTGAGACCACTGGCTTGTCTGGTATGGAAAATTTATTTAGAACTTCAGCTATGTTTGAATAAAGTTCAAGTAATCCAGTTTGTTTATAAATTGAAAACAAAAGCCCACCCAGCCCTGAAACCCAGCGTTTTGCCGGATGGTACCGAGATGTTTGGATGCAGTGGGATAAGGAGTTGGCGTCGCTGCGGGGAGCAGGCGGCTGTGACTGCAGGGCCCGGCCATGGCTCTCACCTGCCCCGCACTGCAGAGCTCTCGGGGGCACAGGAGGTGCTTTGGTTGCAAAGGAATGTGATTCCTGAGTAAATCAGATGCTGTTTTGGGGGGATGACACAAAGGCGCAGCAGCCGAGCGCGGTGGAAGGCGTGGGGCTGGGCCAGCCCGCGGGCGCCGCGGCTCCGACAGCGCGATGCCTCTGCCCCTCCCAGCTGGCTCCAAGTGCTCTGTGGTTCTAGGCACAGTCACACTGATGCTCCTCTTGGTCTCAAAACAAAAAGAAGGCCCAGTTTGCCCAGGATGACTGGTGACCAGAGGGAGCTGCTGTCAGGTCCTCTGGGATCTGCTGAGGGGTGCTCGGTACAATCCGAGACTAAGTGAACAACACTCCTATTGTTGGTGTAACTCCATACATATATATCTATATATACATATATATATACCTACATATGTATATCTATAATATAGATATATATATTTAAACCCTTTTCATTCCATTAGTACAAGTAACACTTGTTTCCTGTTTTCTTTATTTTGTTTGTCAACCGTGTATTCAATCACTGGGCTGAACAACAGTGGAGGAAGGTGCAAGGGATCCACTCCTTACTAACCAGTGATAAAGCCAGATATTGCAACTTAACCCATGAGTAGATGTGCAGACAAGGATTGGAGAACGATGTGTAGAAACAACCCAAGTGGCCAGGGGTGCTGAAGATACAGAACTCAAGTAGGCAGGAAGGACACCTCAGTTCAGGGAGCTGCTGCTCAGAGGTGCTGAACAGCCCCTGACCTCGAGCAGCTGGGTCAGTCAGCACGGAGATGTGTTTGTGGGGAGACACCTGAAAACAGGACATGGCAATGGGGATCTAGAGACACAGGGCTTGGCAGAAGCTTGAGGTGGTTTTCCTGAGCTTAATCTGTGGGACAGCACCAGAGCTCAGGTGTCCCCGTTCTGATCGTTGGTACTTGTACGTAAACCTCCGGACTTGGCAGCTGGAGCGGGGAATTCGTTCCCAGGAGTATGGCAGTGGTTGTCATCGGTCTGTATGGATCTGTCTCACCTACAGCTGGTCTGTTCTGCAAGTACCTTAGAACTTCCCTAGTTTGTGTGTGTGCATTTGCGTGTGTGCTCATATATTTTTTTTGGTATGCGTTCTGTTGATTAGTAACCATTAATTAGCATTTTCAATAGGGCTTTAAGTCCAGTAGATTACGGGTAGTCAGTTGACGAAGATCTGGTTTACAAGAACTAATTAAATGTTTCATTGCATTTTGTAAGTACATAGAATAATTTTATAAAATGTTTGTAGTTTATAAATGCCTAAAATATAATTTAAGGGCACTTTTCTGTGTCTGTGTGTGGGTGTGTCTGTCTGTGATCAGTTTTTCCATGGTACCAGTTTACTAGTTAGCTTTACAATATGCCAAAAAGGATCGCTGACTTGTCCAACTCATGGCTTGTTCTTCTCCCCCTTCCCACCCAAGCTTTGTGTCCCACCATACAGCGAGTGAGTAAAGGAGTTGGGAAAATGTTCTGTATCTTCAGTATCCTGGTCTTCCAGAGCCCTCTGGTTGGGGTGGGATCATCTTACCTGGTCATTTCACTTTACTGTCTAGGGCAGTTACCTTTTGGATTACAAGAACCTCACTGGTCGGGGAAACAGAACAGGTTTGCTGCTCCCCAGGCTCACCTGTGCTGTTCAGCACCTCTGCTCCATGTGATTTGAAGGAAGTGACTGTGTGAGAGAAAGAGGGAAGATGGTTTTCATAACTGCTGTTGAAGAACTCTTTGCAAATCTCTTATCACTTTAAAAGTTTCTCTAAAGCTGTTGAGGACCATTGGAAGCTTTGGTTGAAATGAGCAAGGCAGGGTCCCTATTTATTTTTATTTAAGGATATTGAAGATCCAACCCCTCTGCCGTGGACAGGGACACCTTCTGTTTTCTGAACCAGTGAGGTTTGAGATGAAAGGATTGGCCAGAGTTTGTCTACCTCTGGGACAAAAACAAAACTAGAAAGTGCTAAGGAATGGATGCAGTTGCAAATACATTTTCCAATTTTTCTTGTTTAAATTTTTTTAAGAGAAAATTAAACAATAACATGGCCAATTTATTACATAAAAAGACTTGCTGTGTATAAATTATTCCTAAAGAAATTCCTGTGTTTATATTAAAATGAATCAGTAGATAAAAAAAAATTCAAAATGTTTTTGTATATTCTGTTGTAAGAATTTATTCCTGTTATTGCGATATACTCGGGATTCTTTACATTATGAAAAGAAGAAACTTTGTCTATTTTGAATGGCTGAAGCTAAGGCTCCTTTAGTTTCTCTTACTCTGCTTTTTTCTAGTAGTTTCAGTACTACATGATTTAAGTTAAATAAAAGAATTCTGTATGCATTTGCCTGTTTCTGAATTTGTTGCTCCTTCCAGAAAGCAAGTACAGGTTAGAAAACTAAAGTTTCTCTGGTTTTCTTTTCAGCTGCGTTGAATTGAGCTACTCTGAATATATTTTAGTAGGGGTCAGTACTGCCACTGCTGGGTTGGAATCAGAAGTATTGTCGTGCAGTGGCACTGAGGGTGTGTGGAGCCTTCTTGGTGAGATTTGAGCAGTTTTTTGCAGGGTGATTCCTCTGAATAAGGTGAGCATTGTTTGTTATTTGAGGAAAATCCACTTTTTACCCACACAGCAATCCACAGGTGAGGCATTCAGGCAGCCACCTGGTTATCAGCTTTCTGCAGCGGCATTGGGAAAGACAGTGGGGAGAAAACTGGGATTATCTTGGCAGGTCCAGTTCCTCAGGCTCTTGTCATCAGCGTGTTGACTAAAACAAGGCACTATGGTGGCCCAAAGCCTCATCAGCTGCCTGTGCTGTTACATTTGTCTCTTGTCCGTTGTACTGACATGATGCTTGAGGAGCAGGCTTTGTTTCCCTGGAGAAATCCCAGGTGTCCAGATGAAGCTGCTGCTGCCCTGTTCTAGTGACTGACTTAGAAAATTCCCAGCTAACTGCATCTCATCCCTGTGTCCTGGCAGTAGCAGGATTGTGGAGGAAGGTGCATGTGGGTGTTCCCTGTGTGCTGAGGGGCAGTGCTGTAACCCCCCTGTGGTACCCAGCTTCCATGGCACAGCAATTCTGTGTGGAGCTGTTTGGGATGTGGAGGGGTCTGATCCCAAGTTTTACCATGTGGGAATCTCATTTGGCGCCTGTTTTGTCAGTAACATGTGCCCTTCCCACGGCACAGTGCTTCAGGATTGCCTTTCCTGGGACAGGTTGGCTGTTGGATTTTGATGTGTCAGTCCCTGAATAGCCATGACCTGTCCTGCTGAAAACTTGTTTTTGGGCTGTGCTTGTGGAAGGACTGTGGTGTTTTTCTTTGGGACAGGCACTGAGAATTTGGGGTTAGTGGTGGTTTCAGGCTGAAACTAAAATTACCAAGAGCATTCCAGATCCTGCTGGACTCCAGTTTTCTCTGTACTCGGAAGTCCCCCTGGGCCCAGAGCCCGTTGCTGATGTGGAAAGCAGCATTTACAGCAGGTCAGGGAGGGGGAATTGTAGAACTTCACATACCAGGAGCCCTGTTTCTCCCATACCCACATGTTCTGTGTGGGCACTTCAGCTGGACTGGGATGGGCTTGGGGGGATCTCTGTTCCATCCATCCTTACAGCTCTGAGAGCCCACCTCGGTTCAGCAAGTCTTTGTTAATGTCTTTATAACCAACAGAACTAGGATTAGGCATCTAAAATGTTTGAAATCCAGTTTCACACTTTCTGAAATCTGAAACAACCTTATTTTTAGCAAGACAAACTGCCGGTTACTTGGTTTTTCCCCTCGAGCTTTTTTCTCAGAGATGTAAACAGTTGTTTGGGTTTTGCAAGGAAATTTCACTGAAAATAACATGGGCTGTAAAATCCTTTTGTGTGAAGGTTTTAAATAATCTTTAGATTTGCTTCATTTAAGAAGTAGGGAATTGCTTTCTAAGAAATCATCTTTTTTTTTTTTTTCCTATATGATCCACCCCACACTGTTCTAACATTGCTAAGATAATGGTCTGTAATGCTTTTCCTAGAAAGTCTGCTGTTACTGACTTGGATAATGGAGGCACATGGATGAAAGCTGCTCTTCCATTGCCATAATACAGAGAAGTGTAGTAGGTGTAATCACAGATGTACCTGCAATATTAAAAACAAAACAAAACCAGAAACCTGAATTAAGGCTCAGTAAACTTTGATTAAATTTTAATATTCTAAGTAGCCAAACCAGATCTGGTTTATGAAATTATTAAGAACATATTTGCTTAGTGAATAAAGGAAATGCTGAAATAAACCAAGTTTGAGAAACAAATGTTCCTTATCTGATGGTTTGGTTTCTCAGACACCCACCCACAAAGAACTTTAAATAAAAAAATCACAAGACAGGCATTCTTGTGGGGTGGGAAAGGTAACACACCCTGCTGGAAACTACAACCATGTAACACAGTTTTACGTGTAAGGCACAGTATCTCTCAGTCTGGAGGGGTTTTGTCTTTATCACCCCACCTTGTAACTTGCAGGTGCAAATCCTGAATTTAAGGGCCAAGATTAACTGATTTTTATTTAAAAATAAACCTACTTTTTTTTCTTTTCTATGAAGACTAGCACAGTAGAAAATTGCTCCAGTACTACTGGAACACATAATAAGATCACAGACCTGTTTCTAAAGGTACCTGTAATTGTTGTTCTCCAGTGTATGTATTTACATTTTCTGTCCCTCCCAGCTGAGAAGAAATAGATTAAAATCTGCTACCAGTCGGTATTGCTTTCAGTCTCTCTTAATAGCTGAGGTTTACTGGGGTTGTTCATCACAGGGTGTGCTACGCTGGAACTTGTTTCTTTTGGAATTTACAAATCCATGGAAAAATATCTACTGGCTGTAGCATTTCATGAAAGCTGCTTTACGTAAAATTTAAATTCATGGCAGTTTTCATACTTGTGCCCCTCTGAAGACTTTGCTTCAAAGTGATTTTGTTTGGAGGGAAAGTCAAGGCAAAGACTGTCCAAGCTGGAGCTGACTGAGTTGCTCCTGCCGTTCCCCCGAGCCCCCGACACACGGTGTTTACCTCCCCGCATCTCTGGAGAAGATGATATCAATCCCTTCCACTGAAACGTTTTTCCAGAGAGTCTTCATATTAATTGTAGATTCAATCTTTTCTGGGCCATCCAGCACGCAGCAGGCACCTTCTGGGTGAAAACCACAAGCATCCCTGTCTTGGTAGCCTTTGTTCTTCCCACACTGCTCCAGGATGATGACTGTGGTGGATGAAGCCAGCCCAACGTGAACAGTAAGCTGGGGGTTTTTTTTCCCACCAGAGTGAGCAACAGGAAATTAAAAATAAGACCTGTT